TGGATGGATGGATGGATGGATGGATGGATGGATGGATGGATGGATGGATGGAGGGTGGGTGGGTTGAGAGAGACAGACATTTCCAAAAAGGACTGGAAATGTTTTAAAATGTTATTTATTTATTAGATTTGTTATAGCTGCCCCTACCCAAAGGGTTCTGGGCAGCTTACAACATCCAATATACAATTAAAAACAATTACAAACTTAGCCACAAAGCATAACAGCCTGGACAAGAACAGTAAAAAAACAAACCAGAAAAACAAAAACATTACAGGGGCTCCACTAACAGACTAATCCCAAGCCTGGGAACAGAGCTATATCCTAAGAGCCTTCCTGAACCCTAAGAGAGTGGGTGCCATAACTATCGCTGGGGGGGATGCTTTTCCAAAGGACAGGGGTTGTGGCAGAGAAGTTGTGTTTCCTAAGTCCCACAAGATGACAATGTTTAATTGAGGGGATCTGGAGTGCACCCACTCTGCCTGAAAGTACTGAGCTGGCAGAAACTATTGGAGACAGGTGGCCCTGCAGACAACCTTATATCATGAAGGGCTTTATAGGTGACAAACAGTACCTTGAATTGCACCTAGAAGCCGACTGTACATCTATAAGACTGCCTTTCCCAGTAAGATGTTTGTTTTCTTGGCCATCCATGGTATTCACAGGAGTCTTCTGTAAGTTCAAAAGCATCAATACTCTTTCTATCCTGCTTCTTTAAAGACCAACTTTCACTTCCATAGACTGTCTCAGGGAAATACATTGCCTGCACAATATCAATCTTTGTAGGTACATCACAGCATCTGAATATCTTTTCCAAGACATCTCTGACTACTATAAAAAGTGCTAATCTGTGGTGTATTTATTTATTCTATTGATTCTAAAGGGCAGAAGCTATCCCTGACTTCAATCTCTTCATTGTCAATTCCAATTTGTTGGCCACAGTGTCATTCTCCAGACTGACAAGCGGTTTAGCTAGAATCTTTACTGATTCTTCTTTTCTTGCTTATATATTTCTGTAGATATTCCATCAGTCCCTGTAACCTTCTGATGTAGTAATGATTGGAGACCTGATTTAACTTCATCTTATAGTACTACAAGTTCTTATAAATAGAAAATATCTTCTATGGCATCTATATAGAATTGACAACTATACAAAATTTCAGTATACTCATTCTATCTTTGTTTGACCTTCTCTGAATCAATTATTATCTGCCCATTGGCATCCTTCAGCATACCAATTCAAGGTTGGAACCTCCTTTTCAGTTTGGAGATCTTTTGGAAGGCTTTCCTTGATCTGTATTTGTTTCCATCTTTAATGTTTTTACAAATGTTTTTGGATGGCTTCCCTTGATCTTCTGTATTTGTTTCTATCTTCATTGTTTTTACGAATGTCTTTGTAGTACTCTATGCTTCTTGTCTCTTCTAAAAGCTGTATGAAATTCTTCGTTAAGTTCCTTCCTGAGACCTTTCAGTGCAATCCAGGATTTCAAAGCAATTCCTGATGTTCTTGAGAATGGTGGCTATACATTCAAGATTATTTTGTAGAAAGTGGTTGGCTTTGTCCTTCCAGTTTTGCTTGACTTGGAATCTGCACCCATGTCAAGATACCAACTAGGCTTACTCTCTATTGCTTCTCTCCCTGTCACCATGGAATTGAATGGAACAATTGACTGAGGAACTCAGAAAACATAGACACTCACCAAGAAAAGGATGCTCCCAACATTCTGTGACTTGTCACAGCTTTATGGCAGCCATTTTCTCAAACAGGTAACGTTCAAATATGTTAAAGGTTTTACTGCAAACTTTTAAGCAAAATTGCAATTGATTGTAATTACAGCTGCAGAACACTCTAATTGGTTCTCTACATCAGACTGAGATATTTATTTTACCTTGGTTTATTCAAGCTGAATAAACTATAGCTAATAGATTCATACCACATACTAAACAAAAACCATAAGCTGCAAACATTTGTATCTTTGCAGTATGCAAACTTAGCCACAGAGACAATGGAGCTGAAGACTGTCAAGAAGGAAAATTTGGTGGAAGCACTAATCCAAAGGCCGCATCTAAAGAAAATCTAGTTATTATTTATAAAAGTATTGGGCAAATAGGAGAACATTATTCCAGCAACCCACATTCTGACACTGAAGATTATTAAGGTTAAGATCTTAGCATCCTTCCCAGGTTTAGCTGCCATTCATCAGAAAAGCACTTGCTGAGTTCCTATGTATTAGAAATATCATTCTCATTCATAAGAAGTCCTTTTTTCGGTTCCTTAAAAGTCACTTCCATGTGCGGCAATCAGCTTTTGATACACCATTTGATAGCTGCATTCCCTGGCTGATAATTCAACTTTCTTTTGAGATCAGAAAGAGCTCTTTACATCCACAGGAGGTGGCGCCAAGCTGGTCTTCCTTGAGAAACTGGGATTTACTTGTTTATCCTCAGAATGCCAAGAAACACATTGTTTCCAAATTTTCTTCTGAAGAAAGAATAATAAAATCTACTTTCTGAAGCAGCATGTCTAACATTACTATCACTTTGATATAATGCCTGGAGTTTTTCCAACACTTGGGCAATGTTATGCTATCCATCCTCAAATAACTGCTTGAAGGTCATAACCACAATAAAGTGCATTTGAGGGGAGTATCCATCATTGAACATTAAGTTTTTTCTCAGCAAAATAGGTAAGTATATAAAGGTATATAAAACCAGGGCAGAGAGCATGTGATCAGGACTTTGACTAATTAAAAGGGTAAACTCAACCATGACCCCTCCCTCCCTCCCTTTCTTCCTCCCTTCCTTTCTTCCTCCCTTCTTATGCAGTTTTCAGTCTTCCATACCTTAAGCCCTCCCGCTCTCTATCAAACTGTTATAGAACCAAAATAAAAACTAAAATCACTTTTTAAAGAATGATTTAAAGTTGTAATTTCAATAGTTAACCCTGTACCCTACCTAGATTTCTTATGAATCCCACCTGGCATATACATACAACTGATTTAGAACCACTGCCTTAAAGTATAATATCCCAGTGCATTCCCAGAGTTCAAAAGTCAAGTACAGTGGTACCTCGGGTTACGAACACCTCTGTTAACGAACTTTTTGGGTTACGACCAGC